GGTGACTAAGTTAAACAGCTGCCCATCAGAGAACCAATTTTTTTTCCATTAACAGTAGCAATAATGATCAATACTTCAGTTTTATGCAATCTTTCCTTTAGGTTCTATATCAGTGAGTAAAGGTTTTTCCATATCCTTCTTCTCTTGGTTACGATTTTATCATTAGTTTCTTAGTCTTACTCTTACCACATAACAGAATGTGTGACTCAACAAAGTCAATGTAGCACCAGGATAGGAACTTAAAACTGGTTGGGTAGGATTACACATCCCAAAGCATAATCCAACATAATTCATCTAGGTTAACATCAATTTGACTTGGTTGCCCAAAATCCAATACAAGATCAACAGAGTATAGAAATGGATCACATATAACCTTGTTTAGGATGAATCCGAAAATTTTACTGTTCCACCTTTTTTCATCCGACGACACAACATGACACACTGAAGTTTCTTTAGTTTATAATTCCATTTTATTTTTTCTAATTTTAAAGATCAACAATTACAAATAAACCATGACAAAATTTACAGTTCCTTCGGTTTTGTTATCGAAAAATCACATTTCCATACTAGAGTCTTCTCCTTTTAAGGACAGGACTATGAACAAACAGAGTATTGTCATACAAGATGAAGAACAAATTGATCAAGAATAAGAACAAACACAGTCAAGTCATTTATACGCTTCTTTGGTGGTTTGTTATAGTTGTTGTCATCGAAATCAGAACCCAGAATTTAAAAAAAAGACACATCAAAGATAAAATTGATGATCAAATCGCAAGCAAGCAAGGGAGGAGCTACACTTACCCCAATTTTTTTGTCCAAATATTTTTTTTATAAATATTTTAATATATTTTAAATTTGCCCCCACAAAAATTCATATACATTTTAATTTACTTAATAATTTCTAACATTAAGATTAAATTTCCTTATTTTATTATTGATTATTTAGTTGAATCTCTCAACATGTGTTCAAGAAATTTTGGAACTTTTTGTTCTCTCCCCTGTATGAAGCCCCCTTACTCTTATCTTTGTAAATTTTGACACATTGAATGATAATATTATTATGTAATGTTTTTATAATATAAAAATTAGTCAATAAGATGGTAAAGATAAGGTATACGTTACTCATTTATGATTTGAATGACAAGGATTCAAGCTGCAAAATAAATACTCTCGCACATGCAGGATAAGAATATGTACATCTTACTCCAAACCTTGCAATAGCAGAAGTCATGCGTTGGGTCATCTCATTTAATTTATTATTACTTCAAAGTTTTAAATTTTACTTTTGTTAAAAAAATGTTACTAACTTATAATTGAAAGGCCTAATTTGATAATATAACGCATTGTCATTGTTGAATTAACATAGGGTATCAACATTAAATGCATTTTATTTGTTAATTCAACGGTAATAATGCATTAGCTTTTTCAATTTTTTACATATAGTATTGTTGTTGCCAAAATTTTTGCTCCTACTACCCCAAATTTCTGGCCCCGTCCCTGCAAGCAAGTGACAGTGATTTACAAGAACGGAAATGATTTACCTGTTCTGGTACATTTACGGACAAAGGGAGAGGACCAATCTTCACTATGGAGATCAAGAACAAAGATTAATCGGTGGTGGCTCAAGATTCAGCACCAAATCCAAAACCCTTGTCGACAACTCCAGTCCTGACTTATCTTTAGACCCAAATTTAAATATGGATAAAAATGGTCCAAAATTCTTCTCCAATGACTCATATCCATACCAAATCAAGGAAAAACCCAATTCTAAATTCAAATTAAAAGAGACCCAAATCTCATACCCAAAATTCTAACGGTCAAAATTCTCTTCTCCTCCATTGCGCCGGCACCTGTGTCCCGATAACTTCCTCCACTTCGCCTGTCATCTCTTTAGGTACTCTCTCTTTCTTCAGATGTAGTCACTTCGCTGATCATCTGCTACTTTTTTTTTTTTGGGAGGACGGGAGAATTTCATCTGAACCATATGAGATTTGTTACTTAATCACTCAGACCCAATGACATTTGAAATATTACAAACAAATCTTTTAAAATTTGTACGCATGTACCACTTAGACCCTACTGTAAATATATCTGCAAATAAATTACAACCAGACTCCTTGAAGTTTGTAAACATATATTATTTAGACCCCTTAAATTTAAAATGTTATAGTTAAACTAAAAAAACTTCAATCAAAGATAAAATATCAAATATTTTAAATTTTACGATTAAAATTTATGTTCTATTTATCTTTTATTGAAATAAAATCAAAAATAAAAATTTAATTTTTCTTAAAAAATTTAATTAGTATACAATTATATTGTCTATTGAAATTTAACTAAGTCGTTTAAACGACCAAATTAAAATATCAAACTACTTCAATTAAAGCTAAAATATATTATGTCCGTTACAGTTTGATCATTTATTTAATTTTTCAGTTTTATTCTAATAAATAGTATAATTATATACAAATTATGATTTTTAAAAATAAAATAAAATTTTTATTTTTGATTTTATTTCAATAAAAGATATAATAGAATATGAATTTTGGATGAAAAACTTATGTTCTATTATGAATGACTTATACCCCTTATTTGACTTTTTAGTTTTATTATAATAGATAGTATAATTGTATATTAATTACAAATTTTTAAGAAAAAAATTAAAATTTTAATTTTAATTTTATTTCAATAAATGATACAATAGAATAAGAATTTTAATTGTAAAATTTAAAATATTTAATATTCTATCTTTGATTGAAGTATTTTTTGTTTAAGTATAATATTTTAAACTTAAGGGGTCTAAGTATTATACCTATAAATTTTAAGGGAGTTTAAGTGTAATTTATTACTGAACATAGGTCTAAGTGTTAGGTGCATACAAACCTTATGATATTTGTGTTTAATATTTTAAATGTCAATGGATATAAGTAATTAAGTGATAAATCTCAAAAAATCTGGATATAATTCTCCTTATTTTTGGGCAAGTCACAAAGAATTTTTGTTTGCTACTTCTTTTGCGTACGAGAAAAGAAAGAGTCAAACAAGATTTGGAGAAAAAAACAAAGGGAGAATTACACTTAGACTTCTTGAAGTTTGTCATTTAATTACTCAGATCCCCTAACATTTGAAATATTACACACAGACCTCCTGAGGTTTGTATGCGCACAATATTTAGACCCCTGTTGTAAATATATCAGTTAATAAATTATACTTAGACCCCTTAAAATTTGTAAGTATATAATATTTAGACCATTTAAATTTAAAATATTATAATTAGACCACAAATACTCTAATAAAATATCAAATATCAAATATTTTAAATTTTACAACCAAAATTTATATTCTATTGTATCATTTATTGAAATAAAATATCAAATATGGGTCATTACAATTTGACCCATTGTTTAATTTTTTTTAGTTTTATTCTAATAAATAGTATAAATATATACTAACTATGATTTTTCAAAAAAAAATTAGATTTTTATTTTTAATTTTATTTCAATAAATAACATAATAGAATATGAATTTTGGATGTAAAATTCATGTTCTATTATGAATGACTTAGACCTCTTCTTTGATTTTTTAGTTTTATTCCAATAGATAGTGTAATTGTATATTAATTATGATTTTTTAAGAAAAAATTAAAAATTTATTTCAATAAATTATACAATAGAACACAAATTTTGATTGTAAAATTTAAAATATTTGATAATCTATCTTTGATTGGAATATTGTTTTTATAAGTACAATCTTTTAAACTTAAGGGGTGTAAGTATTATATACCTACAAACTTTAAGGAGGTCTAAATATAATTTATTAACTGATATATTTACAACAAAGATCTAAGTGTTACGCGTGTATAAACTTCAGGAGGTCTGTGTGTAACATTTCAAATATTAGGGTGTCTGAGTGATTAAGTAACAAATCTAAGGAGGTCTAGGTGTAATTCTCCCAAAAATAAAAGAAAAGAGCTATAAAAATTTGAGCGTTTCTCGTTTTGTACATGAAAATTTTAAAGATTTTCATTTTGTACTTTTAAATATTAAAAATTTTATATTAATCTATTGACACTGATAAAAAAAAACAAAAAATTAGCAAAATGATTATATTGTAACATTTTTGATATATTAAAAATTTAATGTAAAAAATTTAATCTCGTAAGAGGATATCTTAATCTTTGCAAAAGTGTTGTTCCTTCTTGAGTAGTGCTTCCTACAAAAAGAAACAAATTGACTAGGATTGAAGTGTTTCGATTAAAAACACTCTAATACTTAAGTCAGTAAGTGTGAGTACAAAGAAATATACTTAAAAGGCTTCAGCGTACTTTTTACTATGCATCCTTTCTGCTTTATATTGACTTCAAGAATTTCCTTTGTTGGTTAGGAAGATGACACACCACCCTTCCAATGGGATTGTTTGTTAGCAATTGCAAAAATTTCTTTATCTGAGCTATTAACTCCACCTAATTGTTACAACAAAATCCCTTTATCGTAGGCGATTATTTTGTTGTTTGATTTACTGCATATCTTCAAACTGTGCTAAATCCTTCTACTCGGTAGTATTTTTTGAATTACAACAGATCGGCTCGATTTTGACATAGAATCAAAACTCCACGTGACTATTTCTCTATTCACGTGCCTATTCATACATGTGGCATGGTTTTATGCCCCTTCAAATCTTTAAAGACGTAAAAGAAGAATCTTTTCATATCAATTAACATAAAAAAATGACACTCTCTAAAGACAACTAACGTCATAACTTGATTTTAATCCCACCAAACCAATAAAACAAGTCGACAATTTACTCGGTGCATATTGAACTTGGGTGATCCTTAGCTAAATGACTCTTACATGACGCTATCTTATCACTAGACTATCAAGCAAAGAGGTCAATAAAATCTTGTTTTGAATTGAGAATGAAATGTACGTTCCATTGATGTTAATTAATTTGTTAGAAAAAAATTTAAGAAATTTATTTATACATCCGAGAAAATTAGTATTATGACAACTTTTGGTTGGGAGTGCACATCACCTGACCCTAAAGGTACTATGTATTTTAGTAAATTATTACTCCTAAATGACTCTGAGTTTTTGGTCATTCTTCAGACACGTTACTAATATGTCCGAATAATGAGTCATTTTTGTAATTACATGAAAAAGAATTGGGTCACAGCCTAAAGTTATAAAATAAAAACATCAATTAGAGTTATTTTTTAAACAACCCAAATTTAATTATATTTGTGTGCTAAGATGATGACTAATGCTATTATAACATAATTTAAGAATATAATTTAGGAACTTAATGCATTATGACCATTAGATTGATAGTGTTGGAACTTAAAGATAATTTAATGTTGGAACTCACTCATAATCTAATGGCCACAATCATTAAATTCTTAAATTATGTCCCGATATTATTGCTCTAAGATTATTCTTATCGGACCAGAACAGGTGAGAGAGAGAGAGAGTCAAATATGATTGTTTATCCCAACTTTATTTTCCTTATTTTTCTTGTAATTACAGTCTAGCCCACAGAAATTTAGTCGTTGATTTATAGACTCAATTGATATATTACCTCCTAATTGTTAATACTTTACCTCTTTATCACAATTCAGGACGACTTTAAATTGTTTTATTTTTCTTGGTTAGTTACAAAAATATATTTAATTTATTACAATTACCGTCTAACGCCGGCCCTTGACAATGTCAACACTCTATATAACTATATAATAAATTAGATAGTAATTTGAATTTCATACACATATTTTTTTCCCCAAAATATCGCATTACTCAATTCTATCACATGTTTAATTATTTAATATTTGATTATTTTGTAGCTTAACATAATTTTTATTTTATACATTATCCATACACGAATTTGATGCTATTTTTAAGAAATTAATAGGTAAAAAATATTTTTAAATTATATAATTAAACAAACAAAGAAATAAAAAATTACTATTTAGTATAAAGGAATTAATTTTTTGAACACTTAAATTTTATATTTCATCGTAGTTGTAGGAATAAGTTATGCCTAGTATATATAAAAATTTTGCTCAAATAAGGATATCAATTGTGTCACTTTTGGTACTAGTTGTGTTTGTATCGATAAAAAATTATTTAATTCTATAACTCATATGATACTATATAAAAAAATTATAAAATAACTATTGTTTGCTTGTTATTCGTTTTTACCCTTAATTTAACCTATTTAACATTCATGTCATGTCATTTAGCATATGGCTTGTTATGTAAAACCACAATGTCTAACACGATATTAATTTCAAACCACAAACAAAACCAGCAGTATTCCCAAAGACTTGATCAACAGCAGGGCCGGCACATAAATAATTTCAACTCAATCAAAAAATTATAATTTTAATAATTTAAGCCTATAATTCAATTCATAACATTAGAAACTCAAAAATAAAAAATTTTAAAAACAAATAAAAAAAAATATTTAAAAGTTAACTCATATTTGCTCACATCCATTCTCTCTCTCTCTCTCTCTCTTAAAAAACAAAAATAAAATATCACATCCTCATTTCTCACATAAAAAAAATTAAAATATATTTTTATTTTTTTTAAATAATACTAAAAATAAAAAAACATCATTTACTATTACTGCTTTAGACTTTGAGCCGTTCCTGATCAACAGACAGCAAGATAAATTCAACACTTGCTAGTTATATTATACAACAAACCTCAAGCTTCCCAACCCAAGTTTACTATTCAGCCATGGCTGCAATTTTAAGTAGCTCTTGGAATATCTCTTTTTTCTTCTTTCTCATAATTCCTTTTGCTTCTGCCCTGTACTTCAACCTCCCCAGGATCGTATCTGACGATACTAATCGCTCCATAAACATCACTGGAGATACTTATATTTCCAACCAAGGCATCCAAGTCACCCCAGACGAGCGCAACATGTCATTGGCATCAAAAGTTGGTCAAGCCACTTATAAGGAACCAGTTGATACCGATTTAGGAACGCCTGCAACTCCAGCTCCAAGCCCAAATCCAGAACCCAATGTAGTTGTCACCGGAGGAAAGAAAAACCAAATAGGATTAGTGGTGGGGTTGACTGTCGGTCTCAGTGTTTTGTTTATGATCGGGGTGGCTTTGGTTGGCTATGGCGTGTGGAAAAAGAGGAAAGCCGAACAAGAAGAGTTTGCTCGAGTCATCCATGGATCGCCAATTTGAAAAGGTTAGTGGACCTAAGAAGTTCTCATATGGAGAATTGGTTCGTGCAACAAACAACTTTGCGGAGGAATTGAAACTTGGAGAGGGAGGGTTTGGTGGTGTTTATAGAGGTTTCTTGAGGGAGTTACACTTCTATGTTGCTGTAAAGAGGGTATCGAGAGGGTCCAAACAAGGGATAAAGGAGTATGCATCAGAAGTGAAAATCATCAGTCGGCTGAGGCATAGGAATCTGGTTCAACTAATTGGTTGGTGCCACGAGAAAAGAGAACTTCTACTTGTTTATGAATTCATGCCCAATGGTAGCTTAGATACTCATCTTTTCAAAGAAAAAAGCTTGTTGACTTGGGTGGTAAGGTACAGAATTGCTCAAGGATTGGCCTCCGCACTATTATATCTACACGAGGAATGGGAACAATGTGTGGTGCATAGAGATATAAAATCAAGTAATGTTATGCTAGATTCTAATTTCAATGCAAAACTCGGAGATTTTAGGTTAGCTAGGATGGTTGATCATGGAAAAGGATCTCAAACGACTGTTCTAGCAGGGACCATGGGCTATATGGATTTTGAATGTATCAGAACCGGCAAGTATAGCAAGGAGTCAGATGTATACAGCTTTGGAATTGTAGCATTGGAATTAGCATGTGGAAGAAAACCTATAGATCCCAATGCCCCAGAAGATCAGATAAGAATGGTTGAGTGGGTTTGGAACCTTTATGGAATGGGCAAGCTCTTTGAAGCAGTTGACTCGAAACTATTTGCAGAGTTTGATGAGCAAGAAACAGAACATTTGATGATTGTGGGGCTTTGGTGTGCTCACCCAGATCCTAATCTCCGGCCTTCAATCAGGCAAGTGATTCATGTCCTGAATTTTGAAGCTTCGTTGCCTGTTCTTCCATCCAAAATGCCAGTGCCAAAGTATTTGTCTCCGTCAGGGTATACACCCACTTCTTCACAACTATTTTCCTATGGCACTACTGTATCTGAGAGTAGTCGGAACCAATCTTTAAGATATAGCTACAACACCGATTGCCCAAAGTTCACCACATCTTCTGCAACATTTTTGTCATCTGAATCACTTTTGCACACACGGTAGTCTCAATTTGTCAGGTTTCTGAGATATTTAATATTCCATTTTCTTTTTATCAAACATTAAATCAACTTTTAATATTTCAAGATGTAGTCAATTAAGTGTAATTCTCATGCTTGTATATGTAATCATTGTTAGAGAATTTATCAATTGTAATGTGGCAAGAATATGAAAATTTTCACTGCGATGCATTTCTTTTACCCATGACTCCTATACTATACTAGTTGCAACTTGCACAAAATTTAGTGCAAACTGAAGCAGAACTATGAAATTTCATTCGAGTTCTTTTGTAATTCATCTATAGGAGAACCTTAATTCACAGATAAAAACTAGATAATCTTTCTCTAAATATAATAGTCAATGTAAGCTTGTGTACAAGGCATGCAGTGGCATAGCGACAAAGTTACTTCACTGAAATATGAATATCATGGATTTGGATTATCGGAAGAGTCTTTGCAAATGACGAAGAAAGAAAACAAACGCAAAAACTATTGTTCTGTTTGCATATGTTTTCAAAAAATAGTATTCAAAACAAGTTTTCATAAAAAGGTTTAGAAAAGTGTGCTTTGATTTTTTTGTTTTCCAAAACTTGTTTAGTTATATGATGCCGAAAACAGTTTTAAAAGACACAATAGTAAGTCATTTTGGACAGTGATATAAAAAATAATAAAAATATGAATATAAGTTTAACCGACTCTTTTGTAAAAATCATTTGAAAAAGAGTACGAATTATAGGGTGTGTTACCACAATTTTCATTCTCTACCAGTATTGTATAATACTTAGACGAACAAGATTTACTCACATGCAAAGGAAAGCTAGTTACATCTTATCCCCTTCTGATCCTACAGGGACAAAAGTACTTTGTATTGGGCCATTTTTTTTTTATTATTATTATGATGTGTTTTTCAAGTTATTGTGCAATAGGTAAATTTTCTGGATACAAATCCCTCCCAATCAATATATATATATATATATATACACACTAGCAATTAAAAAATGCAACAAATTACTTGTGTCTAAAGGCATTGTGTGCAACAAATAAAAAAAACTATTTTTACTTCTTTTTCTTTAATTACACAATTTATAATTAATCCGGCTAAAAAATACCTAACTATTTCAAGACGATACTCTAGATGTACCCACCATTGCCCCCACAATATTGACGAAATACAACGATTTGTCAACTACAACACCATAACAATACTAATTGTAAACAAACGAACAAGTAACCAATTGGAAACAATTTCGTTGCAATGCTTCAGCTTTCTACAATACTCTTGCTTGCTTTGATGACAAAAAGTGCAGCTATTAAAATGTCATAGCATGTGTAACAAATCATAGCCACATTGTAGTTCAAGAGGTTTGTGTGCACAATGTGCATGTATATGCACGAACTGTGGGCAGACACTTTGTAAAATAACCACTTCGACTTCGGCCCTAGTTTGACAAAATTCTACAAAGACAAATAATGAGCAGTGATCCATAATGAATTAGCTCAAAACTCGGACTGAAAATATTGACAACATTTTTATCAAATAGCACATGTGCAAGCTCAAAGTAGACAATACCAATTATCTTGATCATAAGCTCAAAGTAAACACCTATCTATTTATTTTACTTTCATGATTTAACATTAGTCCAAGAAATATACCCTTTAAAATCAACATAGACATCCTACTCAAATCCTCAATTTGTGTACATTGAAACCCAAAGGTTTAAAAAATCCAATATATTTAGCATTAGGGTCTTCATCACCAGGATTCAACAAATTATATCAACATTTAGTTAATCAAACCTCTAAGTAGGAAATCCTCACCCAAATTCAAGTTACTCTAATACAATTCCAGAACTTCCCACTCAAGTTATTGTAGAAACAAAAATAAGTAACTTTGAAAATGAAAGAAAATGAAACAAACTAAAATACAAAAAACCAATCATACTAATTTCCTCAAAGAATTTCATGCCTTACTTTTCTCAAGCAGGTTTTTGTAGATCAATACCTTACGAGGGGTGCGAAAATCAATCATGGATTTAAGGACTACTTGTACATTAAAGTTGCCATCATGGAAGCACCACTTGTCTACTCCTGGCATGGTTAAGAACTCAAAGTTCGGTCTCACTGCCTCATGAATTTGCTCCAAATAAGCTTAATTTTACTTGACAGTACATTAGATGAATTAGTGAAAGTGACTACTTTAGGTTCATCTTACTCCTCCAATTGGCCATTGTCAATAAACTGGTACCATCTTTCCATGGCCACAGCTTTGTAGGTCCACCAAATGGGTCATCTCCTGCTCACAAAATGTGTAGAAGCCTGAAATGTCGATGTTGAGGACGCTTCGTCCAGCGCTACAAACCATTTTCTCACTATGAACGGTTGGACTTGGTACCTTCACATCTGCAACTTTAGAATAGCTTTGGGATTAAAAGAACATACAAATCTCTACTATATTCCTCTAGGATCCAACTTTATACAGCTGAGCTATAGCTCTGCTCCATCTCGGCAATATTGTGGTTTTTGTTTTCTATCTACTACACAAAAGGAAAAAATCAGAGAACACATCAGAAAAATCGCAACAAAATTTGTTCGATACACTTCTATATGAAAAAAATCAAGTAAAGAGATCAGAAATTTATAGTGAGGCGATCGCACTTGAACAATAAACACACATGAATCTTTTTCTAATGATTAAGAATGATAAACATCCAACAAAGAAATCACAGCTATGCAAAAGTCATAAAACAGCACAATGAATTTTTTTTTCTCTTAAAATCTTGCATCAATCGTACACTTTTATTTCCCAAAAAGACCCTAAAATTTCATCACAACACCCTACAATTACATCACTCCCTAATCATTTAACCAAAGTCCTAACTCAAGTAAATTGAGGGACCTAAACATCTAACAATGGATTTGCAGGTATGTGGCCTACATTCTCCATCGACACAAATTAATGACCTATTTCAACAATTCACACCCAATATTGAACTACAATCATATCATTTAATAGCTTCAATCCAAAATCCACAACAAATTCACCATTACATAGATAACACCAATTCAACTACCACCAATCAAATAATTAGGTGCATTGCAGATTGGGGTGTCAAACATGTCGTGTTTTTTGTGTCGTGTCATTGTTGTCCGTGTCATGTTCGTGTCAAAACCAACAAAAAAAAAATTATTTAGTGTGTTATGAGTATTAAATATTAGTCTAGACTATTTATTATGCGTATTTAATAATCGTGTTGGATTCGTATCAACGGGTCAGAGTTGAGATAATTTACCTTTCTTTGAGATGCTGCATCCATGGCACATGGCACAAAAGATCAAAGTTTTTGGTTCACAGTTTACTAGTATCTGTTGAGCGTGAAAATTTTCATTTCCCAAGAGTTCAAGATGAATTTCTGTTGAAGTAATGATGTTGAAGAAGGAACAAAAAAAAGTCAAATGGATTGGGAAAAAATCCGTGAAGGCCAAAAAAGAAAGAACAATTGAACCTGTATTAACTCTTTAATATCTAATACATCCAATTCAGAGTGTCTTTGAGAGCCCTTCTCACCAGGAACAACACTGAAAATCCAAATCAAGCACCCCAGCCTGTAAATTTCGATTTAAATTTCTAAAACTTCAAAATTGTTTAATATCCATAGCAATCCAATCACCAATCTACTTCAAAAATTGGAAACCAAAATTGAAAGAACAGGAAAATAAAAATCAAAATGGAAACAGAGAAGGGGTGGGGTGAGTGGGAATCAATTAGGCCGAAGCGAATCAATTTCAACTTGAAACCAATAACTCAATAGAAACCGCATTAGAGTTATCCCTAAATTAGTAAATATAAGCAGGCTGAGAAATAGATTGGCGTCGATCTGTTTGAATCAATAAATTAATCAATTAATTCGAGAAACTCACCTTCAAATCAAACCAAATCACAAAAAATTTCAGGCCTTCTGGAATAAGTCAAAGAAACAGAGGGGGTCGCCCAACACTCGGGCATTTCGATAAACACTTTATTTGCTTGGTAGGGCTGTGGTGGTGGCTTGTAATGGTTTGGGGAGAGGAGATCGGGGATAGTAGTTGTGGTTGGTGGATTGGGGCAGTGGGGTGGGATTAGGACAGTGGCAAGTGATAGAGAGAGAGGGGGAATGAGATGAGTAGAGAGAGAGAGAGGGGTGTTGGATGAAACCATCGGTGTGTGTAGTTTTCAATCCTCGGTAGCAGCGAAAGAGAAGACGACATTCCTGTGAGAGAGGGAAGGCGTCGGTGTCGATGGTCACTTGGGAGTTGAGAGTAAGAAACAGAGGAGCGATAATGAGAGGTGGTGGTGTTGCTGACGAAGTGGCGGTGGTGGTGGTGGTGGTCAGAGGTGGATTTGCAATGGGGGAGCTGCCCCACTGGAATTTGAAAAAATATTGGGGTGTAGTTGAGATTTTTTGAAGTTTTAGAATTTGTTAAAGATTGCCTACTGAAAAGCTGTTAAACTTAAGGATAGTAATGTATATTTTCAAACATGGCACAGTCTTTGTTTTCTTTGTTTTCTTTGTTCTAGCCAAAACTCTCTCCGTCTCCATTGTAATCTTTCTCTATTCGATGTCCATGGACCCTTGGGCTTTCTCTTTGTACTAGCTCTACACCCTGGAAATTCGTTCTCCTCAATTTTTTACTCCCTCTTTAGTGGTACCTCTCTATTTTTGACTTCAATTATTATTGCCAAGATCTATTGAAAAAATAGCTAAGAAGGATAGGAGCTTAAAAAATTCTTTCAAAGTTAGCTTGTCGGAAGGTAAACAATGAAGTATTTCTTTGATTTCGATCATTATTATATGTTTTAATTTTTAGGCTACTGATTAGGGTTTTCAAATAATTGAATTTTTATATTTAGAATTTGTGTTATAAATTATTTTTTGGATTAAATCATTTTGATTGATTAGGCTTGAGTAAATTGATCGTAATGAATTAAGTTATTCCTATATCTTTTGACCCTAGATTGATTTAATCAAC